GAATGGAACCCAATATAATAAAAGAAATTATTTAACAGATGGTATCTATCCAGAATGGCAACGTTTGTCAAGAGCTTTCAGTGCCCAGATGATCCAAAAAGAAAGAAAAAAAAAAAATTCAAGCAACGACACGAGGCTGCAAGGAAAGATGTTGAGCGTGCTTTTGGGGTGCTCCAGTCAAGATGGACAATTGTACGTGGCCCTGCTCGTTTTTGGTATAAAGAAGATCTTAATGAAATAATGTTATCTTGTATTATTTTACATAATATGATAATTGAGGATGGGGGTGACGATGCAACAAAATGGTCCAATGATGACACTGAGCCTCTAGTCCAAGCATGACAAGGCCATCAAGGAAATTTTCGTTGGTACTTACAAATAAGAGCCGATATGCAAGATCGAGAAATCCATCATCAACTTAAGCACGACATAGTTGAACATATTTGGAATGAACCTAATTAACAAGAGTAATAATTTAGTTAATTTATATTTGATTTCATTGTAACTTCCATGTGTAATAATATGTATTTTTTTCTTTATTTGAAATTGTAAAAGTACTTCTTTTTTTTGTGTTTGTTCTAAATTGAAAAAGCTCATTTTCACTTGTTTTGTTTTTTTCAACTGCCCTGTCTAAATCGTTCTTATACTATAAAATTGTTTTTTTTTATACTAAATTACATGGAATTTTATTTTAATTAATAAAAACACACTTTTACTTCTATCTTATTCGAACGATGTTTGTTGTCATTCGTTCTACTTTGAAAAAAACTTATTCATTTTTTTTTGGATAACGTATCTAACTCATTCTTTTACCATAAAATTGAATTAATTTTTTTTTTATCTATGACTAATTCCTGTTTTATTTTAATTAATAATCTATAATTATAAATAGTGCAACATAGTTACATATAATTATATTGTTGTATTTGTATGTATTTATGATAAATATGTGAAACATCCTCCCTATATATAATTCCCGAATGCGCTGAGCCTACGTGGCTGTTTCTGGTGCTTCGGAATCCTACTTGGCGAAGAATCATGCTTCGTAATTAGGTTTGGACAAATATTATTGATATAGTAATAATTAAAATCTAGGTTCGGACATTCCATAAATATTATTGAGCCAACTTAGGTATTTTAATATCACTTGTACTAATATAACCCTTTAATTCCTTGTAATTTTACATAGTGAGAAACTAAGAGACTAATATATCCCCAACTTTTGATTTGTTTCCTTCAATTAGCTATTGAATTGTAAATGTATTTTAAAAGTTGATAACTGTTGTATTTCTTATCAGTTTATATATATATATATAATATATCAAATTAATCATCTTTTGATGATCTTCGATTTGATATCCATATTGTATATATTGAAATAAATAAATTATATTTATATTTGTAATAATAAAAGATAATTATATTTATTAAAATTCATTAGAAAAATAAAATTATTTCTCAATTGATATATTTATGATTAATGTAGTTATATGTTGTAAGTTAAAAAATTATTATAATATAACACAAGTAAGTCGCGTAAAATAAAAAGTGTCATATTAAATATATAATATATATATATATATATTTCTATAAAATGTATTTAAAATTTTAACTATTTTTTTCATTAATTTTAGATTTTAAGAAAGAAATTAACAAGCACCCGTATAATACACGAGTGTTGTACTAGTTTAAATTAAATAAAAATAAAATCAGAGTTATAGTTTTAAAATTATATTAAAAATAAGAGTATAATATTAATTATAAAAATAAGTGAGAAACATATGAGACCCATAAAAAAGAGGTTTATGCTGTTTGTCGTTAGAGTACTCGCATCGGGTGAATTATTTTGGCGTTTAAACGCACCAAGGCACATGGATGCAAGCATCCATTAATAGTGGGCCCTTTTTTTGCCGTTCAACATATTGAACAAGAAAATTGGCTGCATTTTTTTTTTCAATTATTTATTTAATCATTAATTTTTTATATTTAAATTAATTTTTTTATCTATATCACACTTCTCACTATTAATAAATTTAAATTTTATTTATATCACACTTTACAATATGTATTAATAATTTATATTTTCTATCATCCATTCTTTTGATGCCTATAAATACACCTCAGGTTTACAATGCATCACCAACTTCGTGCAGACAGTTTTTTTTTTTTATGTTATACTATTTTTCATTAGTAATCTTAATTTGTGTTTTTTTAATCTAATTATTTAGTGTATTTTGAGCATTTAAAATTAAATATTCTAATTAAAAAAATACATTTATTTTGATTAAAAAATAATATAAAAATAGTATTAAATGAGTGGGTAATAGGTCCCATATGTTTGTATTTAAATAAATGATTGAATGTGAGTCTGTGTTTAAATGGAGAGATGTTTAGTAAAAATATGATGTGGATGAGATA